TGCTTTGGCAAAGGGTTTTGGAGCAGAGAGGCCCTGCTAGCCCTGCGATTCCAGGTACCTTAATACCATCTCCTCCAAACTCTTCAACGAGGAAATTGAGGCTAAGGGTCATTGTTCCAAATCTTACATATTTTTACAGCTACAACCAAAATAAGAATCCAGGCCTGCTGACTCCCAAACTAGGGCTTCCTTTCAGCCCACTGCTCCTGAAAGGGCTGGCCTCTGGAAGGAACTTCTGACTCAGTGACCCTGGGGCATGCTTACGGACTGTCTCTTAAGGTGGCATGAAACTGGGATCTTCCGTATTCTGATTCAACGGTGCGGTACCCAAAGAGAAAGGAATTGCCAAGACTTGCCAGAAATCAATGGTGGCGTTTGATATCTCCTGTTATCCTTTCCTTCTGCGCCTTCTCTCTTTGCTACACAATTAACTGTGAGTACTCCAAAATGCTAATAACGTACGAGAAGTGGGGACAAGGAATACCAAGCATGTAATGACAATCTTCAGGGAAAGCAAGAACTAAGCAACTCAAAATGCCCTAAGCTACTTCTCTCAATCAAAACTGGATTTTTTTAACTCACAGCTTTTGTCTTTAATACCCTGAAAGCTGCCCCAGGAATGTTTTCTACCACTGACCCTGCACCCTCATCATTTACACCTTATCTGCTTGTAGCCAAATCCTAGCCTTCCAGTTGTTGCTGACTCACAGTGACCCTACAGGGCCCAGCACAACTGCTCCAGAGGAGTCCCAAGGCTGTTGTCCTTATCGACGCAGACCACCTCATCTCTGTCCCACGGAGCAGGTCATGGGTTCAAACATCAACCTTCAGGTTAGCAGCCGAGCATTTAACTACTGCAGCACTAGGGCTCCTCAGCTGCCTCCAACTAGAGTTCAGCCGCAACCAGTGCCCAGGACTCGGAGCTCAGCTCTTGCGGCCCTCATCTGTGCTTGCTCTTCTCTCAAGCGTTTCCAATGTACTATTTGGACTCTTCTTCCTCATCACATTCTTGCATGTCCTGAACCTGAGCATACGTGGAACACAATGCCAAAATAAATCCCAAGACTCATTAGGGTCAACTGATGTCACCACGTAATCTCTCCTACCTTCTCCGTTCCCAGTATCTGAGTATCTCCTTAGGGGACCTGCTTCTGATAGCCCACTGCCCATCTCCTTGAAGACACCATTTTGCAACAAATCAGGCCTCCAAACATCCCTGAAAGATTTTAGACATCATCGAGTCCAGCCCAAACCTCTCATCTTACAAATCAATACACTGAGCCTCCAAGAGGGAAGGTGTTCATCAAAGAGACTCTCCGGCAACAGTTACACCTGAATAGCTCCTTCACTGAGGCTTCTTCAGATGCGCCAGAGTAATTAACGTGTTCTGTGGTGGCATGGACTTCCTTAGGGTTTCTTCAGGAGCACATTTCTTTTTTATTCTTATGTTTTCAAGCTCCAAAATATGCATGCATTTCTTACTACATAGCCAGGAATGTATCATATCAGTAAGGTCTTCCATAAATCTACCGACCCCAGAACCTGAGATGATAATGTGGTTTAGTCAAGAATGTGAATCTTAAGCCTAGTTCTGCTACAAATTAGCTGTGACTTTTGAGCAAGTCCCTTCAGGTCTTTTTTTCACATGGAAGATAAGAAAGGTGGGCAGGACCCACAATTTTCAACTTTTCCTTGGAGTTCCTGAAAGCAAAAATGAGGTCCAAGGTCTGACTGCAAACGGGACCTGCTTGGTCACGACAAAGCTGTCGGAGCTAAAATGCCAAGCTGGGTTTGGGTCCACACAGGGTTCCTTGTCCTTATCAGATGCTCTGACTGCAGACAGACACGTCTTCAACCAAAAATGGCATACTAAATGCATCAGTTTTTAAAAGTTTGTTTGAAAGACAAAGTTAAAAAAGAAAGAAGTTGGCCCAGGAGTAAATAATGAAAAGAATGAACCTTTCAAAAGCACAAAGGTGGAAGGAGAGAGAGAAGGAAATAGGTTCAGCCCTAAGGAAAAAAAAATTCACGTAAGTATAAAATCAGATTTCATTCCAAGGACCCAGGAACTTGTCTTGTATTTATCTCTAAAGTTGAATGAGTCCACACAGAAACCACTCTCTGTCAAATCCCCGTTCTCACAAAGACAAACTGCTCAGAGTTGGAATACTGCACAGAGAACTTAAACAGAGGTCTTTCAAGGAGTTGAAATTTCTTGATGCAGAATACAGTAGTTCATTCAGCCAAATTCAACCAGTGCAATTAAAAAGGCATTAGCAGGGACTGCATTTCATTTCCAATCTACAGGGACTGAAGTCAGAAGGCACTGCCAAGTGCTGCATTGCAGCCTCACTGGGTTGAACCAGCCAAGACGAGGCTGTGGAGAGAGGCCACTGGCCATATCAGGAGATGTGGCTTGTAATCCAGGCGCCCCAGGATCGATTCCCTGCACCGAGCACAATACTTGGCATGTAACTGATGCTCAGTGAATAAACGTTGAGGGAAACTGCAAACATCTCCAACATGTGCCAATGTACATCATATGGAGAACTTAAAAATGCCTCCCTGCTCTCTAAAAACTGAAATACTGAAAGCGCGATGGCAGGAAGACAGCTAACGTTTCTTTATCACTACTATGAATTAAAGCGTTTACAGTAATCTCATAAACGCCTTGCAAAGTAAGTTAAATATTTTCATCTGACACATAAGACAAGCAAGCTGAGAGAAAGTCCTTAGTTTGTCCAATATTACACAGTGAGTAAATGGAGGAGCCCAGACTCCTGGCCAGGCGGGCAAGGGCTGGCTCTTCTCAGTATGTAACTCACAGCAAGGCAGTTCGGTTAGAGGCTGGGGATTGGGGTCTACGTTTCCCCTCTGCCACTAAGCTGTTACTTAAGGACAGGCAGTTCGTCCACCACAAGGATGGGATCACGAGAGGTCGGTGGTGTCTGGGTTTTGTTTCGTTTTGCAGGGCAGTTATCACAATCCATTTGGGTGGGCACGTTCTCTATTACACGTTCCCTCCCTGGTTCTTTGAAAATGACTTGAGAGCCGTGCCCTTGGCTAGCAATGGCTATTTTTAGTCAAGTGGGTCTGCGTGGAAAAGTTGGGATGGCTCCAAACTCCCTCCCAGCAAGCTGAGGCTAAGAATCTGACCCTGCTGGAGATCCTGCTGGAAGTTAAGAGACACCTCATTCGTGGAGTCACGTTTCCCACTTAGCTTGGCGCTCTGTCCCCAGCAGGTGCTCCTGGTTTGAAAGAAATGTGTTTGTTTCCCGTATTACTTTAGCGGTCTGCCTGGGCTGCTCCATTGGGCAGAGTCTGCAAAGAGAAGTCCGCGCCTTTAAGGAATTTTAAGCTTACGGAGCAAAATCCTAGGGTTCAAACAGCCGGGGCTCCAATACCCCAGCTGGGGTCCGCCGCGCCGGTCCCGGGAACCACTTCCTGGTCAGCATCTCCCGCCCTCGTCCACACCCCCACTGCTCCGTTTACCCCTCAGCACCGAGTTTCCGAGGCGGCGGGCAGGTCCTTGCGACTCCGCGTTGAATGCCCAGCAACGCCCCGAGCGGCGGGGGAAGGGGTCCCATCGGAGATTTAAAACACAACGCTCTGGAACTCCAACTCCTCCGGGGCCCAGTCCAGCTTCCAGGAGCTGGGATCCGGGCACTCCCTGCGTCTGCAGGGAGGAGGCCCGGAGCCAGTTCGAGTCCCGCCCCGGCCAATGACCCGCAGGTGACCCCGGGGCGCCGTACCCGCCCGAAACCTCGTCCGACGTTGTCCGGCACCTGTCGAGCCCGGAGCCCGCCGGACCCGTGCTCACCTAGTTCCGGGGGCCCACGGCCCGTCCCAGCGCCTCTGCGCTCAGCTGCCGCCGCCGTCTCCGCCAGGGCCGCCGCCGCGGCCGCCGCCCACTTTCGGTTTCCCCGCACGAACCGAGCCGCCGCTGCAGAGGCTGGGGAATCACCTCAGACTCCCGCCCCGCCCTGCTCGGCCCCGCCCCGCTCC